AAAACCTTGAAAATCATTGACATAGGTAAATTGTGATAGCGACCATGCACATGAATAATCTATACAATGATTATTTTTCAGCTCTAAAACATATTAATAAGAAAAGTTTTTGGAAACAAAAAATGGAGTTATTTCAGGAAACACTCATAGAATCTATTTATTCTCCCAAATCTACGAAAGCAGATTAAAATGGATGACAAAAAAAAACAACATATTAAAACTAATGGAAGAGAAAAGTCAGTCAAAGTCAAATGTCGGAAGGCATAATATTAATAATAATTATGTGTATCGTTTAACATAGGGATCGGGGGCGGCTCGTGGGGCTAAAAAGTGGGCGTGCACAATTAAGAAACAGCAGGTTGAAGATAGTCAAGGGCATAGTAAATGGGGTGGTAGGATCTCTGGGTTGGTGAAGGAGGACCTTAATATGCTTTTATTTTCATTCTTTTTACTGGTCGCTCTGATTTCTAGAACTAAATCTGTTTGTTAGCTAAACATCAAGTTCTTTACCCTGCATCGAAACTGAACACTTGAGTAATAACTTTCACCCCTCTACTACAAAACCATTCAAAGGCACAACTCATAGGGCGGTGACTTAAGTATGTCACGTTCACCTCCCTCAGGTCGCGGTCACCTGGTCGCTTAAAATAGAGGCAAGACAATAAACCGATCACAATTCATTTGAGCACTCCACTGGATTGCTCCAGGGATCACATGATTTTGTCATTGAATAGTGTACAGGCTTTCGCGTTTATTTTTTAGATTTCCTACTGTGGGCTATGTTTCGTGGGTGCACATTTGGTATGTGCCGCCTTGTTAATATTAATGTACGCCAAACTCGCTACGAGTGTCGTCATCGCTTGGGTTATCCCAAAGAGCGATTTATAGGTCAGATAGCCACTGTTGGACGTTGGTTGAATATTCTATTACGTTTAGTTAAAGTGCGTGAACTTTGGCATGGCATAGTAGATGCTTTACGACGCTTTTGATTCAGAAATGACAGTTACAGCGCCAGCGAGGACCTTGTTTTGATATTATATTTGGCTAGTGTTTGTTTTTTACTTCTTTTATTTCATGTTTGTGGGTGCTTTTCGTAATAGAACACTTACAAATTTTAGGCGGCACTGTCCGACCGTGCTCTATGGACGAACCGCGCCTGATAGGGATATATTGTTGTTGTTATCGATCCAGCAACAGCTGGGCTCTCGCCCTTCTCTCCAATGCCATGTAGTGATAAGTACAGGTTTGCTGCAGTTGCTGTAATGTTCCATAGAGTGTGTTGTCAATGTTAGGTCTCGGAGGGAGAAAGGTAGTTCTGATATCATTTAGGGCTGTGCAGTGGAACAGGTGATGATCCACAGTCTCATATGCATAGTCCCACAAGAGACACATTGGGGGAAATTCCGGGTTTATTCTGTTCAGGTGGGAGTTGAGCTGTATATGTTCTGTTCGTAGGCGAAAGATCGTGGTCTGTTTCTTTCTCTGTAGGTGGTTGATAGTAATATTGTCATTCCTTTTTGTTGTGGTCATATGTTTGAAAACTGCTCTGCCTATCTTTCCCAGGGCCCATCCGTTCATCCAATCTTTTTTGTTGTTGCTTTTAATGATTTGTTTTGCAGTGTTGTATGAAGTTGGAATGTTGGGTTGTTCCTGTCTAGATCCCCGTTTAGCAAGTGTGTCTGCTCTGTCATTTCCAGGTATGTTTGGGTGTCCGGGGAGTGGCTGTTTTAACCCTAAACGAGTGTTATTCAAGAAAAAGTACAGGATATTACATGTAAATTGTGGAATCAAACACAAGGGGCCTGCTAGTGTCAGTACATGTCATAGAGTTACCTCCTTTTACACTAGAATCCGTACGAGGTTACGTGACACGGACACATTTGAGTTTGTTGGCGGCCATTTTTAATGTGGCTAAAAAGTTTGTTTACATTTGAGTGGGCGTGTCTTTGCTCTTAGTCTTACGTGTTTTATTTGATTCTAACGTTATGTTTTGATTCAAAGCGATTCTCTTAAAGGTGCAAGCATGTGAAACCTCTTGTTAATGTTAATGTTCCTTTCTGGATTAACGTCTTACTGGTTCTGTCTGGCAGTTCAGTGATGTCTGTTTTCTTTCATTACATCATCTATTTTAGTGCATAATTTGTCTTATAGACACAAATAGTCACTCCGGGTTTCTTTTTTAAAACATAAAGAGCCATCAGTAAGGTTCTGGGCCATGTGAAGTTAAGGTTGACTAGCAGCTAGATCTTTCCGGTGACCTACATCGATTCCCTTCACTGCCCCAAGTAAAACTATTTTCTCATTAATTACAATTGATGTACCTAGGTGGACCTGTAAATCTTTTTTCAATTTCTCTCCAAAGTGGCTGGACCTTCTTACAATAAAAAAAAATGCTCTATAAAATCAGGAATCAACTGATACTTGCTATCAGCAGTAAAATATTAAAGAGCTGGGTACAGACTTTTTCACCACTTCGCAGGCTACTGGTACATGTACTGATGATATGCTTATTAAATGAATTGCAAATTTAATAGGCTGTATGTTGTGTAGCCAGTTGATTTGGTTTTTGAATTCTTTTTGATTCGTGTTTTACGCCCCCATCGCCATAATATAATCTTAACTATCTCAGTAGGCGGCCTTCTCAAACCTGCCTGTCGAGACAACCCGGGCTGAGAAGGATACCATGTCAGAGAATAAAGACTGCGATACTCGATAAAAATTCTCTCAACGAGAGAGTACATTAAGTAATCTTCTCGTACAAGGGAATCGAAATCGGGTCTTCTGCGTGCAACGGTGAGGCTGTTAATCGCTGTGACCGAAACGTCTTTGGGCTGTACATAGATTTACATATTTGGGTCCTTGTTGCAATTAAAGTAAAGCTAAAAATAACAACGAAGATTACAAGAAAAACAACGATGAATAAGAAGGAAGTGTTCCATTTTTTTGCGCTGCCTTGTATTTTGCCGTTTTGGACGAGGTTTACGATCAGGTTGCGATGTTTGTGGTAGCATTCCGTCTGGTGGGACGCAACACAAGTGCATTTGTACGACTCCCCGGGAACACCCGTTAGTCTGAACTTGACAGAGTTGGCGTCCTCGGCAAATTGTCGCCTCTGAACTTGGCCTTTCTCTTCTTTGACCTTTGACCTATTCAGTCTGTCGCACGTAACGCTTGTATGAGACACCGGAGGATTCCCGCCTTCGACGAGACAGGTGACAGGGTCAGAAGCGTCGTGGAAAGACGAGATGGAGGACGCTGTGATCTCCTCCCCGTAAGAAGTCATGAACTTGGGCTCTGTCCGCGGGGGCCACCTCAGGGAAAGTTTACTCTCGGCCTGAAGAGGTTTCTCCAACTGGTATCTCGAGTCTGTCTCATCCGCCACACACGTCAGCAGTGTGTTGTGGTCTACCTCGGTCACGTTAAATTCAAACCTCGAATTGTAGAGCATGTAGCTTTCAAGGTATTTGCTCCCGATGCTGTCTGACGTGTAGTGGGCTTGATGTAAAGAACTGTGGCCCTTCTTCCAGTAAAATCTGGTCTGAGATTTGAACCCCAGAGCCTCGCAAGCAGCAAAAATGGTATTTCCTCCACTCCCGCAAATGTTGAAAGTCGATTTCGGAGACAGGAGTCGAACAATACGGTCTCGGGCCGTGACGTCGATGGGCGGGGTGTTTACTGGCTTAATCAAAATATCTTCCTTCGTACCCGTTGACAAGGTGGGTGTAATCTTGGCAAAGAATACGTGTTTACCTGCACGACTCACGGGAGCAGAAATTTTCCAAGTTTCGGAGAAATACAGCGCACCGTCTTCCTTTGTTTGCGTATGTGAATGGTCAATAAGCGACGGATTTATTTTCTCGGAGTATTGGGAAGAAAGTTCAACTTGCGAGAGCTCACACGAAGCTTGAGGGTAGACTTTGCTGGTTTTACAAGTGACCTCCACGAGTTTGGGCGCGACTTCTACAGCGTGGCAGTGAGAATCTTGTGGCATGAGGTATACCTCCATCTCACAGGCGAACAGGATGTAGGAGAGACCGACACTCGCATTCGTCGCCACAAACTCCACGACTACTCCTCGGTGCTGGTTACTCACGCGACTCATCTCCAGATGGCACGTAACTGCGTCGCCGTCCAATCGTCTGTGAGCAGTGTACTCATGCCAAAGGTCATAGCAAATTGTTTCGTCATCATGGTAGCAGTAGGAGACTTCTTCGTGCTTGCCAGAGGGGAGCTGGAAGCGCCAGTATAGGTCTCTGAGAACAAAATAAGTAAGTAGGCTACTTGAATTTGAAGTAAACTAGTAACTGGCAGCAATCCTTCGGGTTACGTCTTTGTTTTGTTTTGGGGTTTTTTTTTACTTGTTTGTTTTTGGTGCGTTTGGGTGTGTTT